GAAATTAATCAACCCTTACTAATAACAATACACCCAAATACTGCTAGCACTAAGGATACAGATGAAGGATACTTGAAGTTTCACCTTGGTCAYGTGTGACATCAAATRGCTGTGATTTATTTGCTTGTRTACAAAATTACAGATCAATAGTACAATATAGAAGAATATGAAGTTATTTAACAAGTGGTCGTACTCTGTCGACCTCCTCTGTACAAGAAGCTTCTCTGTATTTCTTTACTTCTTCCATGTAGGCTTTCCATGCTGTGTTTTTGCCATCATCCTAAAATCAGTTTAAAAATATCTTAGATTTCTATTTATTGGAATAACTTTTTTAAAGCAAAAATGTAAACTGGGGGATGTACACTTGAAGGTAAATATTATATCCTCTTCAACTCAAAATGCCCTTCCAGGGATATACAGCACCCTTTACACACTCCCTACATCAATGCTATGTTTCATGGACTACACAAAGAGCCTAGTGGGCATCTTTGGTATTAATAAATACTTAAAACAACTAGGTTGACACCAATAATTATTTTGTACTAAGTTTTAATTTCTTTTACCTTGCTTTTATCATTCTTTTTCTCTGCAGCTTGTTTTTCTAGCTTTTTCTTTTTAGCATGGAATTGTTTGGATGCCCCACCCATGCGTCCTGTCAGGAGCTGTCTTTTCCCCTGTGTCGTTTGGATTAAGACTCACACGGTAAGATTAAGGTATAAAATTTTAAGCATAAAAGAAGCATTTCTTACCCCCTTAGAAACATTACTCATCCACAGTGTAGCAAACCATAGGTACATTATTAAATTATGCAGATCTGTTTGGTGAAATAGGCTGTATACTGATATAAGGGGATTACAAGATGCAGGAGTAGATGAGCATAGCAAGAAGTAATGGAGTATTTCCTTCTCTTAATTAAAGCCATAGCAAGGCTTAGGGATGGGTAAATGATACATGGGACCCCTTTGGTATCAGGCCTTAGGTTTTTTAAAGAGAAAAAACTAGGAACCACCCCTTTAGGGTGTGATTAGGCMATCAATCCCTTAGACCCCTCCCTCTTGAATATCATGGCTATACCTCCCCCCTTTTTGCACCCATCTAGCTTTTGTTGGAAATCTTCCTTTCCCTTACACTGCTTATTACTATTCTGAGTTTGAAGAAAAACTGGGTCACATTGGCATTGCAGTGCATTCCGAGACTGTTTTAGGGGACTAAATAGATGCCATCTTGTGAATATGTCCCCTAAGACAGTGCCACAAGGTACTGCAATGTGGAACTTGGCTTTGGTTACAGTTTCATTCAAACAACAAAATCTGCAGACATTTTACAAGGAAAACTATTCCTTAYATGAGTATCCTGTGGAAGTAACGTTTTGGCATTAAGAAAACTAAATTAAAGCTGGTCGAAATTGCAAGCTAGATGGTTAGAATGTTTAAAAATTAAGATGCCTTATATATTCCTCAAAACGAGCAAAGTCATAATAATATGCAGTGAAATAAAATGGTATTTTTGAAACCGTTACGCTGGAAGAGTGTAGTATCTTTTTAGGCCAGACCTGATTTAATAAATTTGCTTTAAGGACAGGAGTTTTTGGTTTATCCTCACTCTTCTTGTCCTCCAGTTTGTTATCATCCGAAGTTCGTTCGTCGCCATCTTTTTCTTCCTTACTCGAAGTTTGTGCCAAAGTCTTTGCTTTCTCCATTTCTTCCATTCGTTTTTTGTACTGTTCAAAGAAACTTCCATCATTAGCAAATGTGTTCATGGGAAGTGAAGCAGTGTTTGATGGTTCTTTATCGGTTGAATTTAAAGATAAAAAAGAGCTACTTCCGCAATCAATTCTCTTCGCCGCCATCTTGTTTGATGCGATAGCCTCGATCAGCCTCGATTCTGTGCTAGATTTTCCAGGTCTACTCTGGTAGCCTGCCACAGGGAACCCAAACGTTTTAAAGACCATTACCTAAGCCTACTGATTGTCCTTTTCGTACTCGAGGTACCTTGTGAAGGCAGGGAAAGCCAGGAAGGATCAGAGGGCGTTGACCATTTCTTTCTTAACAAGTATGTTGGGTATAAAAAACTACATAATATCGTGAGATTTCGTGAATCTAGCTTGATAAAGTTCCCATCCCCACAGCCTACTCCTTTGCAATGGCATTTTAAATTTAAAGTAAATTTTCATTTAGTAAATTTTTCTCTTTATTAATCAGTTCTAAAACTATAAATGTAATCATTAAAAGTGTATTAGCATACGTGTACATAAAAAATCAATTTGGTAAAAAAGGATGTTTGGTACAGTTTACTTGATTGACGAGTCAGTAAATGTTAAATGGTCCTAAGATAGTTACATCACCATCCTCTACATTATTTTGCTACTTCAAGGGGGTAACCAGGGATCTTGCAGGGGAGATGCACAGGCAATGATTTGCAGAACCAAAAGAAAAAAGGTAACCAAAAAAAATTACAAAACCAAAAAAAAAAAAATTTTTTTAAAGGAATAATGGGTGAGTAATTCTTAAAAATGCTGCAATATACAGATAGAAAGTGGTCTTCATTTAATCAAAAAATATTTACATGCAATTCTAAAGCAAAAGGAGATGGATGAGCGGACCTTAAGCTTTTATGGGGTAGGGGGGGTTCACGTGCACCCTGTGCTCTCCCCTGGTTACGGCCTTGTACTAACCAGCAATTGAAAGAATATCA